ACTTGTAATATCATATAAATCTAAGTAAAAAAATATATATTCTAGACTCTCATCTGGATTTCTTTCCACCAAATTTGGGTGTTGTGAGTGACTAACAAGGTGAGAGGTTCCACCAAGACATTTCCTTGATGGGGAAGCGCTATAAGGGAAATGGAGCGCAGAAATGCTGGCAGATTGTTATTGTTGACATAAAAAAGGCCTTCCAGAAGCCAAATATACACGAAAATATAAGGTAATTTTTCTATATTATACAATAATTTCATTATACGTAGCTGATGTTTGTACTTTTTAAGAAAATATATGTTTTGATGTCACAAGAAAGCAGCCCTAGTACATTTAAAATCTGATAGTTTTCATGTGACAAAAAAACCCATATATTACTTTTCCTTGCGAGAGTATAAAATGTTCAGTTACACCCAAACTTTGCGCTTCCCTACTTGTTTAATATAAAGGTTTGCCAACACCTAGAGGTATTTCCCTGGGTTTGATTCTAGCGAGTTGCAAAATTTCATAATAGAACATTCGCCAAATATATATTTGTTTTAAACTTAATACTTTTAAACCTAGACGAGCTTCAGAGATGATAAAATTATCACAAATCGGTAGGAGCGTTCCAATTCACATAAAATCTGTTAGTATACAGTGTAGAACATAACATTTTATTTATTCTCTTTAATTTAATATAAGTTTTTCAGTTTATTCACTCTGGTCGGTAAACATTAATTAGAGGGATTTGTAAATGTGGTTCGGTAATTTGGAACCCAAAGATTTGGATTTGGTTACTTCGATGGAATAGCGCCCTTTTTTGAGTTAAAAAAAAAACGCTCCAGTGAAAGAAGAAAGTTTGGTTTAGTTAAACTACTGCCCAAATAAATTTCATATCTTTATTCACTTTTCACTTTTGACACTTGGCCCATCAGCAGCTTGTTATGTCTGAAAGTTGAAAAACCTCAGAACCAACTAAGTTCTCGATTTGGTCACTATTTAGAAAAGTTAATATTTTGAGACATTTACGCTCGTTTTCATATACTGTATGGTATAGAGTAAATGTTGCTCTACTTTTCGATTGAGAGAATAAAACAGAATGCTTCCGCTATGATCCAGAAGATTAATAAACAATCTTATGTATTCGCTTGATTATCAATTTCTGACAATTTTCGATGCGTTTTATATTTCACTTTTTCAGTTAAATAAACGTGATCGGAATATGATTAACAAAATTGTGTCCAACATTTCCACAAGTCTTATACTTGTAAATGAATATACAGCAAGTATGTATAAATTAAAACGGAAATATATTCCTTGCGCATTATGTGGAGTGGCTTATCCTTATAATGGGAATAAAATGCATGGACTCTCAAAGAGTCACGGTTAGTATGTATGTCCATGTGAATATTTTATACAACTGCTTTTTTTACCAGCTCAGCAGGCAACCTTACGAGCTAAAGGCGTGAATGGCATTCACAGCAGTTGCCAGTTTTCTAGTATGCACTTTATATTCGTACTACATACGCAATTTGGTTCTTATGTATTAAAATGTATTCAAATCTACATATTTTCAGCAAATCTGTATTCAGCAATACTTAGGAGTTGTATTCAGTATCGTTCATTGTTTTTCATTTGAATTAAGACTTATTTTCCGGTAAGAGATATTTTCCTAAACATATTCAATTTCATCGAAAATAAAATTTGATTCTTTTTTGCATATACTTCAGCAAGAGTAGTTTGTAGAACGACAGTGCGTTCAAAAAATAACGTTTTTGCTTCACAAAGTTTGTTATTGCCTTCTGTCGGTATCGAATCATGGTTATTTAGGCCGCACAACGAAGATAACCATGCCCACTCTCCATATAACGGTTTTGTTAAAAACTACTAAAAGTTCTACAAACCAATAACTCAGTCCATTAGAATGTCTCTGAACTTTACATCAAGAATGGCACAGCAAACCTTTTTTGGAGCAGGTGTCATAAATGAACAATGGGCGTGGCACCGCCCACATTTAGGTGAAATCGCATTTCTTCGAACCTACTTCATCAATTTCAATCAACTATGCTACATACGATTATTTTAACATTCCCATCTTAGACTAATTTCCATAGCTATTCAAGCCCACAGATACCGGGTATGTGGACCGCAGTGTCTATGACTGACCTTATACTGAAAATATCGGTCAAAGTGTGATATATTTTGTTTAAATTAGGAGAGAATCCTTTCTTGATATTAGTATGTCTGTATGTCAAAAACGTGTTGAATCGGGTCCATAGCTCCATGTACCTAATACTTGTAGAAATATTTTCGAAATTCCGGCTGACTTTTTACCGAATATATCACACTCATATAACTAACATCAGGATTTTCAAACATGTGTTTTACTTTACTCCTTATATATTGTTCATGGTATGTGAGGTATCTAAATGAAACTCAGAAAACATCTGTTTCTGTTTATAATATATAGTAATGCCAAAAAAAATTCAGTCAGATATCTTTGCAAAATTAACTCTACGTACAATATTGGGTATACTTTAGTTTAATGCTGATATGAAATTATATTGTATTACATATACAACCCGTGGTTGACGTTTTTCACAACATTTTAAATTTAACCTCTTTGGTTGAGTTTATATGACATAATTATATCTCATTTTAGGATGATTATAGTATAATTTTCGCTGACTGGAAGAAAAATATTGTAAAAAATCTAAGTGAGTCTATGACCTTCAAAATAAGTTAAAGTGCTACAGAGTATAATAGTTTTTTCACCTAGCGATTGTTTGTATCACCTAAATGTATATAAATGATCAGGATGACGAGACGAGTTGAAATCCGGGTGTCTTTCTGTCCGTCCATTCGTCTGTCTCTGCAAGCTGTAACTTAAGAAAAGATTGAGATATCGTACTGAAACTTGACAAACGTATTCCTTGGTAAAAAAAAGAGCGAGTTCGTAGATGGGCGTAATCGAATCACTGACACGTCCACAAAACGCCATTAAGCAATGTAATTTGGTACAGGCGATTGCAAAAACAAGGGGCACCTGTGAACTAAAAATTAAAAAAGAGGCTTGCCCTCTCCCTCTAGTAGTCTTAATGTATATATCTCCTAAACCACTAAAGCTGCAAGAACCAAATTCGCTTAAGGGAAATCCTATTCTCCACTCCTTCCGGCAGTGTGAAAATGGATGAAATCGGGTTATAACCCCGCCCTTTCCTTGTATAAAGGTTTTGTTAAAAACTACCAATTGCTTCATTCTTATTTCCCCACCGAGATAGTACGAGAGATGGAGATGAATGATAATGTAAAAAATATTCACGAGTTGACAAGCAAACTACACATATTTATCGAAGAAAAAACTTCTTCTATGTTTATTACCAGAAAACGTATTTTTTAAAGCTAAAAAAGTGAAAGCATTGCTGGGTCAAAATTATTGGGCTAAAAAAAGACAGTGTTTAGAAATAAATCACCTTTTTCCATATCATATTAGTTTGGATTTTGTAGGCTATGCTCTTGCCGGAACGCTTTCGGCATCTTCAAATGTTTAGTAAAAAACATCGTAGTAAAAAATGTGCTTTAACTGCGTTTGGCTTTCAGAGTAATTTAAAAAATTATATTTAGTTTGTATAGTAAATAAGAGCTTCTAGATTTTATAGCGTTATGAGTAAGTAGTCAAAGTCCTCAAAACGCGCATCTTAAGTTAGATCGTGTTAACAATATTGACTAATATTTTATCCAGAAAATCTTAAATATCAGTGCGATGTCGCATTAGTCGTGAAAGAAATTAATTTAAATCGATTTCATGTTAAAGCTTGTACGAACAACTCGAATGTGAAATTAGTCCACTAATCTATGTCATGTTCATTTATAGAGCTTATTTGGGAATTAAAGCACGCAATCTCCATTAGCGGTCGATCGAAAAGTTCTGTCGTTATTTTAGGAATTTGGAATTGGTTGCAATTTATATGTCACATTATATTACGGTAAACACATGAAATTACTAAAGCAAAAACTACTTCGCATAGCCACACAACGTATTAGTTACACGTGCGCTCTAAATCTAGGTTCCTGTATCACAACTCGATGTACATAGTATGTCACAATATATAAAGCTTGAAATAGCAATAATAACGGAACTTAAAGAGTAATTGTATTTCCTTCTTTTGTGGATTTCGTTGATATTTATTACCTGAACGGCGAGTAAAATTTCCTTTGGCAAAGCAATTTCAACTCAAGATGTCCAAGGCAATGGCACAGTGTGGTTATTAACAAAATGTTGAGGAAATAAATTCTAATACTAAAGTTGAAAATACAAAAATTGGAAAGAAATTTGGTAAGTTTTATTTCTATATTTATCTATATATAAAACGTAAGCAGCATAACATTATAATTCCAAAATACATTATCCATATTATTTAACACTTCATTGTAGTCTAAATACAATTTTAAAGCCCACAACGATCCACAGTTCACCATACAGTTCAGTCTCATGTATAACTTTTTGTTTTCTTCACGTAACTTTAATATCCATAATATTAGATTTGATGTGTTCTTATAATTAGATTTCTATTATTGCGAACGATTTGTTGAAACAAAACGTGCAATAGCAGCTAAAACAGTGGAAATGAAATTATTAAGGTTGCGAATTGCTTTGAACGGTACGAAAGAATTAATAGAGAAAAAAATAATGTATTTGCCTTGTGAGATATTATTATTATATTATATATTAACTGAATGCTTGTAGTCCAGAGCATTTTTTTTATTTTTTGAACTGTAGAGTTAAAAAAAAATGTATATGAATAAACTTATTTAGGAGAAACCAACCAACATATTCTCGAATATTGAAAAAATTTTATGAATTGAAATAAATATTTCGTGACGTCTGTAAAGCTACTATATGTAATGAAGTAGTTAGAACAATAGTATAGAGCCATAAAAGAAAGCCTAATTTTGATAATTTATAGCTAGAAAAAAAAAGAAATCAAATTTTTTAAGTGTATAACTTTTATTTTTATGATTACAAAATGGCTGCTAGTAGGTCATTTCTGAAAAAGATTACAATGCTGACGAGATTTTGTGATTTAGATCGCAAAAATTAGCAGTAAATGGTTTAAAAAACCTTGGAGTAGTAACAAATAAAGTTTATTTTGTGACTGAACAAAAAAAAGATGTTTTCTTAATCCGATATCTTTAAATACAACACCGGATAAGCTTCAGAGGTCTGGTATCAAAGGCAGACATTGAAAAACCCGCTACGTTGATTATGATACAATTCTATAAAAAGGATTTGCTGAAGTCAGCTGAAATGCATAAATGAAATATAACCATTATTGAATTATGCAAGAACAGAATGATCCGTACCATAGAAGTAGACTATGTACTCAAGAAACCATAATGTTACTTTAGATTGGCCATCACAGTTAGCAGACGCCAATCCAATATAGAATGTTTGGGCTTTAATGAAAGCCAAATTATCAAGAAAGTATTTAACGTCAACAAAAGATTTCATCCGGCTACTCCAACATACCTGGATGGACCATTTAGTAGCAAGTTGTCATCAAAGATGTGAGGATGTAAAAAACAACGCTGGAGATTGTCAGCTATAACAAAAAAATGTATTTTCTATAGTTACAAAATTTTTCCAAATAAACGCTACCTACACTTTGAACGAAAACGTTAAATAATATACATATTATTATGTCGATATATGTATGAGCCGATAAAGACAATATAAAGACGAACATAGTGACATAAATAATATTTTTCGAAATGAAGGGATTGAGAAAACATATACAGTAGACTACTTTTTGAATAGAAAAAAATCTTGTCAAGAAGTGTATCTCTATTTCAAAATCAAATAATCTGATGAGATTCGCAGGCTTACTCGATAAAACGGACTAAGTATTTACAAGTATGAATATGCATATATATGCTTTGTAACCGTAACTATCGTGGTGACGAAGTCATCAACGACTTCCGGCAATTCAATTCCACGCCTGTCGGTTTGTTTGTTTATCATCATCTGTCAGTTTGATGGTGTGTGTGTGTGACATTTACGCTGACAATGCCGGCATATAAATCAAAACATTTATACTATGCTTTTTGTTGCCTTGTTTTTGTGTTTTCATCCGCTTTTTTGGTAGCTATATTCTTTTTTGTCAATGTACACATAAAATCAGGATTTAATTGCCGAATGTTGAAATGTGCAACCAATAAAACAGCTGTCCCAACTCGCAACTAACTACAGCTCGTATCCAAACAAGGGCGGGCATAATGGAGTATAATATTGTCCCTCCGAAAAATGTTTGTAAAAAGCAACGAGTAATCAAAATTAAACAAAAACAGCAATCAACTTTTTATTGCTATACACTTTATTTCGAAGTGGCACTTCAACTGCTGCTGGCTTTAGCTTTGGTGTAAAATTTTGATTATACGCTTATCCAAAAGCGTAAATATGCCGCTCCTGTGATTTTAATGTTCGTAATTGACGTGGAAAATATTCCATAAAATGTCATATTATATTTATATGTAACTTTGGTGAAAATCTACTGTTATATAAATGTACATTGGATATAAATAATATAACAATAGTCGCATACTTTTCTTATAATATTTGAGAAACTTCATACTCCTGCTTTCTATTCACATATATAATATATACTATATATTATATATATAGATATTTACGTTCGTTGCTACGCTGAACGCTTGAGTGTTTTCTTATATTGGCTTTGTAGACAGTTTAGTACAGTTTATCATGGTGTTCTACGTCTAGCTAGTTTACACATAGCAAACTATTAATTCAATATTATTTCTATTACACGGATATATATCTATATATATATATATACCATGTTTCATTTAGTATTCATCACGAATATGCATATCTCCCATAGGTATTTGCAAAGCAACAATAATTTATGTATAAATACAAGTATCTATTCATTCTAAGCCACCATTTTATCTGGGATCGTTTTGATTTTCATACAAAATATTTAGAGTTTCCGGTTGGATTAATTTTCAAAAATATTGCGCATTATATCCTATTAATTTCTATGGACACTAGAACATTCGCATATATAATTGATTATTTGCAAATATAGAATGTAATATACATATTTAACCATATTTCAAAATGTTTATTTCCTTCAAAACGTTTTGCCTGTTCACGCATAATAATTCGTTTGTTAACATGCCACATATTGAATATGTAAATAAAATGCGCGGCTAGTAGATACCAATACAAAAGTGAGTTTTACAAATGATGTCGAGTGGAACATTTCAACTAATTATTTAGTAATACCTGCATTATATAAGCAAATTGTGCGAAAATTCGGAAAGTAGAAAACATGTAATTTAATATTTCAACCAGTAAGGAAGGTTATAGTTCGGGCTGAGCTGAATATTGGACACAAAAACTTTAATCGGTCAGTTTGTATGGCAGCTATATGCTATAGTTGTCCGATAACGGCCGTTACGATAAGGAAGCAGCTTCCTGGAGAGGAAAGGACGGATGCAAAATTTCAGATCAATATTTCAAAAACTGCGGGACTAGTTGGCATATATCACAAGGCATCCCAGGACGGACAGACAGACATGGCTAAATCAATTCAGCTAGTCGCTGACGTTTATTGTAGAATAAAGCTTGATGATAAACTAAATAAAGAGCATTAATAACCAAGGCGTCTAACAATAGTTCACTTAAGAGAAAATCGCATACGCGATTACACTGCAAATATTTTTCGCAAGGCAGATGAAGGTCGGTCGCTCGTCAAAGATCCCACAGCTGTATAAGTAGATTAATTTCACTTAAAATATTAATTTTTTCATACAGTCTTGAGTACATCCTATTTTCGTTGAGGGTGATATCTTACCCTGCAAATTAACTTCCAAAATTCTAACTGAATTGGTATCATGTATATCCTTAAATTTGTGAGCTATTTAGTAATCAACTTAAATGATACGTTAAGTAACATATGTATCTTTACCAAAAGTGACTTGATTTCTAGAGTATTATTTCAAAAAAAAAAATTTTCTAATAAAAGTAGAAAAGTTCGTTGCGTAATATTAAAGTGTACATAATATACAAGTACTTGTATATATGATCAGCATGACCAGCTGAATCGCTTTAGCCATGTCCGTTTATCTCTCCGTATGTTATCAAGAAGCTGCTCATTTGTCGGAATCGCTGTTTGGCTACCATACAAACTGAACGATCGGAATCAAGTGCCTGCAGGGAAAGCTTTTTATAATACATGTGATATCGTTAAGCATTTCGGAGTGGGTTGATTTCTAAGGCAATGGTGTAATCTCCAAAGTATTTGTTCAGATCGGATTAGCATGGTTTATGTATATAGATATATATATATATAGTTAGTAGCGAGTTGGGACAGCTGTTTTATATAAATATATATATATAATATGAAGATATCTTTTACGGCTTAGTTCAGAAATTTAATATTTATACTAGCCGGGAATAAACGGATCGATAAAAGAAGTGTGTGTTTACAGTCTTCGTAGTGTAGAAGTATGTATGTATATTTGGTGGTATGTTGGCATTTCGCAAACAAACAGAGACATAGTTCATATGTTAACTGCAAAGTTGAAATAGCATTTTATCATAATGCAATATATGTACATAATTATTAAAATAATGCAGATACATTTTGCAAACATCAAATGTCTAGATGCATGTGGATGTGTGTTGGTGTTAGGCCATATAACGCTTTGTAACTCCAGAAACGCAATGCAGATATTCGCTTATTGTCCTTTAGGTTATTGCTTTGGAGCTACAAAATTACGTGCTTACTTAGGCGCTATATATAACTGCGAGTCTTCATTTTGCCATTTACTGCATTGGACGGTGATCTTAGTGTTGGCCAGTTGCTAGTTATAGATAGTTGCAGATATTACAATTGTAACCGCAATTGGTCGAACACATTCATGCTTGTATATATTTATGTATGTGTATATACCTATGAATGTCTGCAGACAGTGCTACATATCTGCTGAGAATTGGAGGAATTTTTATAACCCTCAAGGCAATGGCAATGTGCACGCCGACCGAAGTCAATGCATCCTGTTAAGCACCTAAGGAAATACACCGTTATATAATATATTATATATAGCTATAGCGTTAGTTTAAATTTGTCTGCCATTATAAGCTTTCAGATTTAGGAATATATGTACATATATATGTATATTGCTTTATATTCGTATGCACCATGAAGCCACAAATGATAGTCCAAATATACTTCGCAGCTTGCTCAGCGATGCAAGCACACATAAATACATGCGTGGATTTCTAGCGTTCTATTGCATATGTGTGTTTGCAAATATCTGAATATGCCAACTATGCAGCGTGTGCAATTAAATTGGTTTTGGAAAGAGTTCATAAATTGCAAATTATTACTGGTTTTCGTACATTTGTATCAGGAAAGCCAAAGGCAGTAATGAGCACTGCATCATGTGCTGCAAGAATGCAATAAAGCAACAAAGAATTACTTTTAACTACGATCGAATTTATGTCTACGTTAATATAGGGTTATTCACTCATCGTTTCTTATAAGAATTCTTGACATTATTAATATATAATATATGTTCTAGAGTTTTATTTTGTTATAGCTAGAACGGTGAAAATCAAAATAAACTCAACTGACTAAATGTTTTTTCAAACCCTTGCTCTAAGGCGTTCTTTGTTTATTACAACAATTTTGTTTTTATTTCATGAGCAAGCCACCATATATAGACCTCTAAGCAATGTCAATAAAACCACAATAAGTATTAATCTATGGTCCTGAGGCTTATTGCTGTTTACTCCTTTTTCCAGTGCCAATATATTTTGGAAATTATTTGCAGTCTTATTTGATTTTCAGATTTCTTGAAATAGTTATGGATATTAAGATATCGTGAAACTTCTATTTTTAGAACCGCAGATATCGAACCACTACAGCATAACATATAGCTGGCATTCAAATTGACCAGACACTCAAAAAATCTGGCACAAATAATTGTCTTAGATAACGTAAATTTTTCAAATCGAACGACTATAGCATAATGCTGCCTCATAAACTGAATGATCACAATTATGTCGTGTTATGAAAATCTTCTCTATTTAACGAAATATCTTTCTGAAATTTTTAATATATTGTATATATTATATATACAATACAATATATATTATATATCTGCCTAACAGACTGATTGATCAAAATCCTTGTATGGAAATATTTTTTATTTGTGATAGGTATCACAGCTAACCTTCTTACTTGGTTTATTTTATAAAATAGCTACAAAACTAATGAATGGACAACATCAGAGGTTCTTTGGCTTTTTATCACATAATTGATATAACCGTACCAAGCACCTCAAACAGACAGTTATTTTCATGCATCGCTAATCCTTCTTATAAATTGCTTACTATACTTACAGACAATTTTACGTCAGTGTATCATGAAAAATCTTTTGTGAACATATATATCATGAAACTGAAATAAAAAAAATCCAAATCTAAGACCTTTTTTTTTACTTATGCGATCTGAGTGCGTAACCCTGTAAATATAGAATTCTAATTTAATTATTTTGAATTTATTTATTCGAATGTTATGCAGGTAGTAAAAGTTTTTTAAGTTTAGTTGATAAACATTCTAGGTGTGCACAAATATTTTTGGACGATTATTTATGATAAATGTGTGCTAATTTCATTTCAGCCCTTTTAATTAGTAAATTTTAGGAATTTCTTAATGAAGTCATAAATTAATT